CATGTTCATGAGAATATAATTTTTTTGTGTAACGAAATCTACAACACTTGTCAATCATATTGCATGTGTGTCTAAAAATAACATGTGGGCGTCCCACGGTCTAGACAGGTTTTGTGTCAGGCCCTATTTCAAATTAGGGCCTAAACTTCAGGTTAACTCATAATGGAACCTCGTACCCAGGGGTATGCTCTGGGTATGAGATTTGGCCGTTGTCTGTTCATACTTTAATGTGGTAAGAACAAAAAACAGGGCTTACCAATAATGGGGCTTACTGACTTATTTCAATGGCCACCAGTCTATAAATAGACCATGGCTCTTGACCAATGAAATTGCTCGAGGGAGAATTATCACCGGATGACGTCACTTTTCCTAGGCATTTTGATGACGTCAAGTATTACGTAATTTGAGACTGGGAACTGGCTCGGCCAAATATTTTGTACACAAAAAGTTTTTTAAAAATTGTTTTGTACAAATTTGCAACTTTGAGAACAATATTTTGTTTTATTTTGCACGATGCGTACATTTTACTACAGAAACAGATCAACAACATGGCTTGTGATTTTCTTTGTGGCATTGCTTATTATTTTAACGTCAATTCGTCGCAAACGAAGCCTTAGAAAATCATGGAGCAACGACGAACGTGGTTTGTTTAGGTTCGACCATCACACAAGAGAAATACAAGTACGAAACTTAAAAGGCGAAATAATTCTTGAAGGAAACTTGGGGATGAATATTGGGTCGAGTTATTCAAATCCCGAAGAGAGTACAAAAGATGGGCTACATTATACATGGGGTGGACATATTTTGCAAAGTATTATGAAGGGAGATAAAAATTGTATAACAATTGACTGGGACAGTATTTCAGATGAACCTTTTACTCCAATGGATTGCTTTAATTTAGGAAAGTTTTACTGGTATGGTGGTGGGCAACTGAACGTACCTAGCTGGCCATTGAATAAGGCCGATCTTCAAATGTCACCATTTTATGCTAAAGTTTATAAGGATATTGACAATCAACATTTTACATCTGTCATTGAACCTTATTGGCTGAGCTCTAGCGGTGTTGCAATTTATGTTGATGAAATTGTTCCACTTCATGTAAGCATTAATGAAAGGGGTAATGGCAAGCTGTGCCTGAAAGCCGACGCCGAAGGATACCCGGGGCATCCGAAACCGGTACACCTAAAATACAGAATGTGTTTTGGAAACAATATGAAATCAACACACCAGTTTGTGGCATCAAAGTATTTTGATAAACCGTCTGAATCGTTAAGTAGTTCAATGATAAGGTACCCAATCTGTGGGCTAAAGTCACCGAACCAAGTTAAAATGACGAGGTTTTTTAGATCTATAGTAATACGTCAGTTTTCCTGTGGCCATATTGACCTAGGCTTGCAACGAAGCTTGGTGTTCAACAAACAAGACTTTCCAAACCCAAAAGTTCTGGTCAAAGAGATACAAGCAAGGAAATTAAAAGTCACTGCAATGGTTGATTCAGTTTTTGACACAAAACAAAATGTACCAAAAGAGTTTTTAATGAAGAGTAATTGGCAAAAAAATTCTCTTGATCTTTCCAACCTTAAAGCACGAAACTGGTTCACAGAAAAACTTACAAATTTCCAAAAGAAATTTGGCATCGATATGATCAGACTTTGTTGTGGGGAATTGGAGTATCCAATTACTGAGTATAACCTTGGAGGTCGAAATCCAGGCATATTTGTACAGAACTATGCCAAAGTTGCGGCTAGCGTCAGCAAGAGTACAGATATTGCAGTAGGCTACAAAACACAGTCACTGCCTTTGGTGATAAAGATTGCTGATCGTTATCCAAATTGGGGCAAGGACGATGGCTTGCGATCAATTATACCTATGGTACTAAGTGTTGGACTGATTGGTTATCCATTTGTGACCATTGGGCCAATTGGTGGCAAAGCAGAAGAGACGACAACAGTTGATAAAGAACTGTACATACGGTGGATGCAACTTAGCGTATTTTTCCCTGTGATGGAATTTGTTACGTACCCTTGGGAGTACGATGATAGCGATACCGTTCAGGCATCGGCTGATATACTAGATATCCGATATATGTTATGGGATAACATTCTAGCTATTGGGAAGGAAAGTGTAGATACGGGAGCCCCAATCGTCAGGCCAATGTGGTGGCTAGCTCCTAATGATCCTATGACCCACAATTTGAGTGCTCAGTTCATGCTAGGGGATATTTACCTTGTTGCCCCAGTCATGTGGTCACAAGTAAAGAAACACGAGGTCTACCTTCCCAAAGGCGTGTGGCGAGAGATGTTTGGGAAGGGAATTAAACATGAGCTTGAAGTTGGACAATGGATTACTTTTAAAGTCGATATGAAAACTGTTGTTTATTTCGAATGTCTTATATGTAAGCCATGAGAAAATAAATACTTTAAGTTATAAATAAATTGGTACCCAGAGCTGCCAAGTTCAGATAATTAAAAGCATATCGAGGCTAACTAGTGGCAAGCCTAGTACAACAGAATGAGGTAGCATCATTCAATTAGTGCAATTCAATCACTGACATGACTCTATTTGAAAATTTGTGTAACTTTCTATGGTCTTTAGAATACTTGGAACATATTTGTTTTCTCTCAGCCTTTCTTACCTCTCCAAACGGTTTTTAATCAGATTTGGAAGAATTAGAAAAAGAACAGAAAATGTTCAGTCCTAAATTGTATTCCTGCAATCAAAGATGCAGAAAAATGTGTCGAGGAAAAACTGAGAGTACAACAGTGAACCTTGGAGTTCAGCCTCAAAACAGTGCATACTCATAGGTAAACCGTGAGACTTGGCAGCGCTGGGTATCTACTACATTCAAGTTGTGAATAGTAGCAATAGGAAAAAATTGTGAATTGGCAGTGCAATATATATTTAATGAGAAAACTGTAGATTGAAAGGGATTTGATACAAGCCAAACTCGAAGTTTTACTTAACCCATTGAGTGGCAGCGCTCACTCTCCACTTGACAAGTAAAATCATCTGGCGTTAGACAGAGTAAAGCGCATCATGGTGCATTGCAACTTAAAGGGTTTAATTATATTTTTCGGGTGGCTGGACTGATTTGTTAGGGGGGGGGGGGG